ACCGAGAGAAGCACCGAAGACAAAAATAAATAAATAAAACCTTAATCAATTGAAAAGAGAGGAGAAGGATGAAAGGGTGGGATGAATTAGGTGTAGTTGACACCATCTATGAAGAAGAAGAAGAACGAGATCCGGATGCCTCCAGATCTTTATCCCTCACTCCTTCGATCACCGCGAGTCCGACCTCTCCTCGATCGACTTCGTCCTTGCTGTCGCCATCGCCGACCTCTCTCAATGCGAGGGTCGAAGAGTGGTACGCGCGTGTCGCTTCTGATTTTTATTTCTTTTTGTTTTTTTTTTTTCATCCTCCCCTTTTTATGTTGTAGTTGACCTGTTGTTCTTGGGTTCATCTCATCTATTGTAGGTCGAAGATGACCGGACGAAAGACGGATATAATCATCCGATTGCACGATCACTGCTTCTTTCTTCACAAGGTAAGATTTATTGCAAAAAAGAAAAAAAAAGATAGATAAATATATGATAGAAATTAAAACAAGTATAAAATGCAATCGGTTTCTTCTGTTTTGCTCTTATATCGACGATCTCCTCTGTTAATTTAGAAATTAACTAGCATAAACGTCAGAAGATTTTCGTCCCAAAAAAAAAAGAAAAAGAAAAAAGAAATTGACCATAGGAGGCTAAATTGTCCAAGGGGAAAAAAAAATATTTTAGCAGTTACAGAAGTGAAATTAAGGGGCTGTTTGGTTGGTTTCCTAAAAACCAAGAATAGGAAATGGGAGCATGAAAATCTCCCATTTCCTATTTTCTTCCATTTCCATCCTTAAAACTTACCCCAACATTCAATAAAATATTATTTTATCATCCAACTCATCTAATAAAATATTATTTTATCATCCAACTCATCCAATAAAATATTACTTTTATCATCCAACATCTAATAAATTATTATTTTTATCATCACATCATCCAACTCATCTCATCTCATCCCATCTCATATTTAAAAATCAATCACATTATCCAATAATATGGTGACAACTCATCTCATCTCCTTTAACTTTCATCTCCACCCATTTCCTCAAAAAAAACAAGGAAATTGATTTCCTTAAGTGTGAGTCACATCATCCAATAATATAATGACAACTCACCTCATCTCATCTCATCTCCTATTTTTAAGAATGAACCAAACACAAGAGAAAAACCTATTATAAGAAATAGGTTTCCTATTCTTTGATTTCCTTCTTTTTTAACCAATCAAACAACCTCAAAACAACTTTTTTTTAAAAATCACTCACATTATCCAATAATATTGTGACAACTCATCTCATCTCATCTCCTATTATTTAATTTCCTTCTTTTTTTAACCAACCAAACAACTATAAAACATTTTTTTAAAGGGAAAAGATGGTATTCTTTTTGGTGAACAAACAATTTGGAGTTTTCTTGAAAATATTTTGTTTTCTTGTGTCTCATCATCTCGTCTATCCAATTACCATGAATTTTTTTTCCCACCCTAGTACTTTTGTCGTCTACTCCGATTCGATGTTATTAGATCCAACGGCTGCAATTAAAGCAGGCCCCATTAATGGAGAGCCTACAAAGGACCCGACATATAGGCCCGCCCCGGTGGCATTCCACCGCAATTAATGAATGGTCCGAGGGCAGTTACTCCCAACCCCATGTCATTTTCTTTATACACTTTTTTTTTAATTAAGTGATAAATTAAGTAAAAATAATGATAAACGTACCGTCTCAGAGTAAATATTCCAGAGCTTTAAAGTAATAAATTGGAGGGCAGTTACTCCCAACCCCGTGTCATTTTCTTTGTGACTACTGGTGTAAAGTGAACAATCTTTAGCAAATGACATTTCAATGAAATTAACAGAATGATTTATTTTTATTTTTATTTTTTGGAAACTATATTGCACCTGCTCTTATTAATGGCAACTGTATTTTAGAAACTTTAATTACGTTATTACTGTTACGTTTTATAAGTTTATGACAGTAGTACGAAGCCGAACTATTTATTTTGATTTAAACAGGACCCCCTAATATCACGGAGCCGTTACCTTTGCCGGCGCCTAACGGAATCAACGGAAATCACCATTAACGCGGCCGTCAAAAATAACGGCCGAAACCTTCTCGGAGATCATCCTCTTCTGCTACGACTCCTCCATCAACTTAACGCCGTCAAACGTCGCCGCCGTCAGAATCGCTGCCGACTGGCTGGAGATGGACGTGCATAACGGCGAGGGAAACGGAGGTCTGACGTGGGTGACGCGAGATCTCTACTTCCGCCAGGAGATCGCAGGTGACGGGACGAACGCTGAGCAGGTGCTGCGCACGTGCGTACAGCTGTTGCCGGACGTCAACGGCGGCATTGCTCGCTGTTAGGTGCGTTGAGGTGGCTGGCCAGTGAGGGTGACGGGCGAGTGGATTGAGGAGCTGACGGCGTTACCGCGTGGAGGTGTTTCGGGGGGGCGAAGCCCTACGATGTCCCCTGCATCAACGCACGTATTACTATCAGCTCACTAAGTTCACCAAATCGCGTAACCGGGGGGGGGGGGGGCGTTAAGATTAGTTTAATGGTAATTTTGACTATGACCCGAAACATTAGTCATGTCATGCCGCCTCAGTTTCGAAAATAATTAGACATGAGTTGGAAAATGTAGATTTTTTCTAAAAAATAAATGTAACTGTTACTCGTTAGGAACTTGCGTTTATGATTTATGTGTATAAAAACCATATAAATACGCAGTGTCTGTCATTGATTAATGAACAATTTTTCACTGTAGACCCAAACCGAGTTTTTATTACCAAAATCGACCGATTTTTTTTTAATTATCAAAATCGATCCGTTTTATGCCACGTAAGCATAATCTCATTTCCTAATTAGTCGGGGTTGCCAACCCCGACTGTTTAGGAGTTGTTAAACCCCAATTAAATCAGGTTTAAGGCTTCTAATTAGGGTTTAACAACTCCTAAACAGTCGGGGTTGGCAACCCCGACTAATTAGGAAATGAGTTTACGCTTACGTGGCATAAAACGGGTCGATTTTGGTAATTAAAAAAAAATCGGTCGATTTTAGTAATAAAAAATCGGTTTGGATCTACAGTGAAAAATTGTTCTTGATTAATCATCATGTGATGACAATGAATGCTTGTTTTAACCGTGGCTCTAAAATAGAATTTTTGAAATTGAATAGCCTAAAAAAAGCAATAGGTCTTAGAGCTCTGAAGAAGATTTCGTACAAATATAAAATATGGTTTTTTCATATATAATCCTCACTTTTCCATATTTATAAATATACCCTTCACATTTTGGTATTTTAGCAGAGTTGCCCTCCAATTCTCTCACCTTTAGCTTGTGGACCCCTCCCACTTAACAATTTTAGCTCTTAAACGGGAATCTGTTGCAACCTTTATAAAAAAAACAATGATAGGGGCACACACTCTACCATACTCCCAACCACACCACCTCCACGGGGCCCACATGAGATATTAATTTTTAATATCTCATGTGGGCCCCGTGCACTGTAGCAAAAGAGGTGGAGTGGTTAGGAGTGTGATAGAGGGTGTGCCCCTAGTGCCTTTCTTATAAAATTTTTAATATTCTACTGTTTACAAACCAACCTCATTAAGTAAGAGGGATAAAAAATATCCAGCGTGAGAAAAATTGGGGGTAAGTTTGCAAATATCAAGATGTGAGGCGTAAATTTGAAAATATGGAAGCTCTTAGAGGTATATATGCAAAAAACCCCTATGAAGTTAACATTACATCTTATATCAGTTACACAAATAATAAAATTTTTATGGTTGGATAAAAATTTAAGGTGATATTTTCCCAGAAGTGCCTTTTGCTATCAGTCCATAGCTAAAGAAGAAGTACATCTCTTATGTTATTACTTGATCTAAAACCAACCTGCCTACAAACTTTTACACCACAGGGGATTTCGACGCAACCAAATAAAATGGTCTCTAGTTTTATAATTCAGAAATTATTATTATAATTTTTTTTATCAAAATGAAGAGCGTCCTTGTTACTATTTTTTTGATAATGCATTAATGCTTTGCTTCCAACGCACTTAATTTCGTTCGTTTTTTTCCCTTCCATCAAGACAGAACCACCAGAGAGCCTATAACAGAGAACAGAAGATCCAGCTGTGCCACTGCATAAACCCGGCCAAGCTGTCCCAGCACCTCTCCATCCACCTCGTCCAGCACCCCCGCTCCCCCTCCGCTTCATCACCTCCAATCCATCCTCCTCGACCAACCTCCAACACCCGCCCTCTCCTCCACCTCTCCGAACCACCCCCATCGAACCTCCAAGCCCCCCTCCACCCTCGGCGCCATCCTCCAGCGCGACGCCATCCTCCGCAACTCCTCCCACCTCCGCTCGTCTATCCAGGCCACATCGTTCCGCATCGAGAGCCTCGAAAGGGATCTTGACGGGCTACGGAGGAAGCTGAGATGGTCCGAGGAGAAGGGGTCGTCGAGCTTTCGGGTTGTCGGTGACGATGGTGCGAGGGGTGGTTGTGTTGAGTCCGGGAGGAGAGGGAAGGGGATCGGGCGGAAGTTGTTGGACGGGTTCAAGAGTGTGTTTAAGACTTTGCCGTCCTCGGCGGCGGAGGTGGCGACGGCGCAGAGGCACCGGAGGAATAATTCGTTTGCCTGATAGTATGGATTAGTTTTGTTCCCTCTTGTTGGTACGTAATTGGTATAGTGCAGATATATATATAATAGAAATTTAGTTGAAATCTTTATAGTTGGTGCATTGATGATTTGAAATGTTTATGGTGATTTGGATTGAGAAATTAGATGCTGAGGCTTAAACATTTGGGATCGTTTCGTTATGATTGTATGATTTTGTAATATAATTATGTTCATTGATTAGATAATGACAGTTGAAATTGAGTCCGTTAATGCAAGCGGTTAGATATGCAAGTTGATCCGATGACATTATTAAATTGTTTCATACTTCTAAAGCGTTTGAGGATCCTTCAAAGACCAGGCGAGACCGCTACAGTAAAGGCCCGTTTGTTTGCAAAAATTGGAGGGGAAAGTAGGGGAAAGGCTGCAAAAGTTCTGAAAAAATCAGAACTTTTGCGGGCTTTCCTTCTCCAATTTTTGCATCCAAACGGCCCTAATCAGCATTCAGAGAATAGAGTAACTCTTGAAGTAACTTTTCAATCTGAACTCTAGCATTATTTAATCATTGCCCCAACTTGGCTATAAGCTGGTACACAGGTTTGTTTGGCGATTGAGTATTTGGAAGAGAACCACGTAACATTCAGCTTTCCTTTGCTGTTTGATTGGTCCAAAAACTATAGAAAAAAGCCCCTAGAAAAATGACACAAGGGAAAAATATAAATTTTCCTTCACAATCAGGTGTTTGGTTTGCGAAAAATAAAAAGGAAACCGAGGGAAAGTGAAGGTGCCAGGATTTTTTCCAAGAAAATTTTGTTGGATATTTTTTTTGAAAAAGTCAAATTGACTTAATCTAATCCTCTTAAATCTCTAACTAACCCCATATTTCTCCTTAACCCTCTCCACTATCCGTTCTGTTTCTCTCCCTATATAAACTCTCTTAATCATCTCATAATTACATATTCATTTTCTCTACCTACTCTCTCTCCTCTCATCTCACGGTAAAGAAAGAAAACAGTGGAGTGAAAAATTAAAAAAAATAATAATAGAGAGATAATTCTCACGGGTTTTTCTGCTACTATATACTTAAGTGTTATTATTATTTTGGGCAACCTTCTTCATCTGAGCAGAAGCTCTGTGCTCTCGCCCAAGTACGGAGGCCGGCTGTTTCCGGGGGCTTTTACCGCTAGGGGGAAGAGGATCGACTGCGCCAGGGTGATAGGCGGGTCCTATATCTTCTAGGGCAGTGAATCACGACTGCACCCGTTCAGGCCTGGTGTTCTAACTCTTTTAATTTCAGATTTAATCTAATTAATTCTCTTTTTTGACAATAATCTAGAAGATAGATTTATTTTATTGCTGTTAATTTAAATCTGAAATTAATTACTTTTATTTAGTACATTTTTCTCTGTTAATTCTGTGTTAATGTGAAACAAATACAGATGATCAGATTAGTTACTTGGGTGACCAGGACGACGGTGGGGACGAGAGTGGTGGAATTGGAGGGCTTGCGGACGGCGTCGGAGAAGAAGGCTTGGAGTAACATGACGGCGATTAGGGTTTTGCCGGAGCCTGACTCAAGGAAGGTGATGGTGTTGCGCTCGATCGCCATCTCCAGCGCCTCAAGCTGGTAGCTGTGCGCGAATGATTGCGGATCGACTGGAGGAGGATCGTCGGTGTCAGTCGTCGCCGCATCTTGAAGGAGCTTCGGGTGCTTCGACTATTGATCGTCGTAGGATAGCAGAAGGAGGGAGAAATGAGAGGGAGAAGGAGTGGTAATTGTAAACCCTAGGTGAAACGAGAGATTTGTGTGAAAGTGTACGGACGCCCCCCTTTTCTCCCTTTTCGGCCGATTTCAGGCTTTTTATGAAGGAAACCAGAATCCTTCAAAGCTGAGCTGTCAACCTCCTTTTTCTTCTCTTTCCTTTTTCTATTTTGACCATCCAAACATCCGAATGTAAAGAAAACTGACAATTTTTCCCATGTCAGATTTCTTTTGGGGTCTTTTCTGTATTTGTTTGACCAAACAAACAGACCCTTAGGTAAAATGGCAAGGGTCTTTTGAATCTTCAAAAAGAATCCTCCCTCACTCGTTGCTAAATGAAGACCTGTGTGCCGCTTAAGCACCCGACTAGGCGCGGGGCTCTAGGTCCGATGCCCAAAAGCATTTAACGCTTTTTAGAATATTGGATTTACCCTAATGCATGGGAAATTTCGTGACTATAAGCCTATAAGGTAATAAGTGCTTAAAAACAACAATTAGTTTGAATTGATTTGTTGTAAATAATCCGTCATGTTCAGTATCTTGAGTTGATTTATTGAAGTATGTTAATTGGCTAAAAGTTGTCAGCAATTTTACCACAGCTGTTTGCCTGATTACTGCACTTATTAATGTTTCCAGAGCTAATTGATTCCGTTCTCATGTACTGGAACTTTACATACTTAGTTACAACATGGTGATAGTAGGTCTATTAACTTACTCTCTCTACCTTGTCAAAAATGGTAGCGGAATATATGGTGTCAGCTTGTTGCTGCATGATAGACAAGTTCACCCTTTGTTCTATTATGTTCACATATATATTTTGAGTGATTGGGTATTGCACATGGTTAGGCTTATCCACACGGTTAAATTATCCAATTTCCAGTGTTTTTTTTCTTTCTTGTATCTGGGAATTTACAATTTAAGTAGGAATTTCGGAAGCATGAAATCTGTACTTAGACATCTGTTTTAAATTTTTATTCCACAATTTTTAGTTTACTCTACCAATTGACTGTGTTTCAGATCCGTTTCATGAGGTGAAAAGGAAGCGTGACAAGAAAAAAGAGGTAATACTCTTTTCTACTACTCTCATATGTCGAACAGTCGAAAGCTCAAACTTCTTTTTTATTTATTTTATATCATATGA